GCCCGCCAGGAGCCCATTCTTGGCCACGAGGGCCCATTGCTGGCTCATGGGCACCTTGTTGTCCCCCAGCACTCCCAGGTCCTTGTCCCCAGAGGTCCCCCCTCCCCTGTCCCACTCCTGGAGGTTATTCCCCCCTCAATACAGAACCCACCACTCCTTCTTTATTGCCCTCAAGGAGTTTCCTTCCTCCCCACCCAACCCTCCAGCTCGTCCTGGTCTCCCTGAACAGCATCCCACCCCCCAGGGCTGCCAACCACAGTGCCAACAGAGCAGCAAAGAGGAGCTGGGCCCCTTCCTCACCCACCCTGCCAAACTCAGAGGACCAGTTGACCACGATGGTGTTGGGGACAGTGGCTGAGAGCCGTGCCAAGGGTGTGATGTTGACGGGGCGGCTGGGTCGCTTCGGCTCCGCCCCGTTCTTCGTGGGTGGGAGATAACCCTGGGGAATGAAATAAAACCCAGCAAGGTGAATAAAAATAAAGATTCATAAAAGAAACCTTCTCCAAAGGCCAAAGCCACAGGCAGGAAGCTACAAGCCTGATTTCTTCACGGCACCATGAACCTCAAGTTCTCTCACAGGGCTTTACAGAAGGATTTTTCCACACATCTCAAAGCTGGATGTTATTAATCCTCAATATTGAGGAATTAAGAATAAAGATTCCTTCAAATATCCTTTATTTTACCCTTAACTTCTACTCCAGCACGCTGGAATCCCATCATATGCTGAGTTCCCCCCCCCAAAGCTGTTGGTTTGGGATGAGCTGAGTGCAATCGGTGCCAAATTCTTCTTCTTTTTTATATATATTTGGTTTGTTTTGGTTTTTTTTCTTTTAGCCAGTTCCTGATGGTCTCAGCCAAAATGTAAATCCCTAAAACTATGAAGGGAGGGGCTCAGGGCAGAGGTTTGAGGCTGTTCTGCAAGGGGGTGGTGACAAGGAGGGAAGCTGGGGTGAGATTCTCACCCCTCCGATGCTCGACACCAAATCCTGCCCTTTTTTTGGATTGAAAACTGGGAAAAACACCATTTCTTGTTGTATTTCTTACACACTACCCAACACCAAGGAGCTCAGCCTTGACTGGAGGTCTTAAAATCACAGAATCATTAAGGTTGAAGACCAACTTTGGAGTTTCTCCTCCCAAAAAGACCCAGATAAAAGGATTTTGCTGGTTCAAAACCCACGAGGCTGAAGTTTGTATGTTCTATTTCTACTTCCAGACCTCACTCCTTGGATCACTTTTCTCCCAGTCATGGTTTAACCTCCAGAAAAATACATTCTCCATGGGAGCTGCAGCTGTGCAAAAAAAAAAAGGGGCAGATTTTAGTCAAGGATGGATTAAGAAGAAATCAAATTTACTCACGGGCAGGGGACAGAGTTTTCCGTTGACCTTGACAAATAAATTAGGAGGGAAATAATCTTCCTGGGGACAGCTGGTTTCACACAAACAGAACCTAGGAAGCAGGAGGGAGAAAGGGGCACGTTGAGGGGTGACACCTGCAGAAAACAGCAGCCAAAATTCCCTTGGGAATGGGGGAAAAAAAAATGGTTCCTCCAGCAGGATGGATTGCTGGTTGGCAAACAGCAGCAGGTACCAGCCCTGTGTGAGCTTCAAACTCTCTACATGGTGAAAGGGAGGGAAGAAACAAGGCTAAAAAAAATGCCATGAGACTTAAAAAGGACTTAAACCAACAGCAAAGGGGATTTCTCTGCTCTAACTGCATCCCAGGAAGGGCACAAGTTGGTGTTTGGCTCCAGGCTCAGCACCCCCAGCTGCTCCTCCCCACACTTGGTCTCTAGACCCTTCCCCAGCAGCTTCGTTGCCCTTCTCTGGCCACTCTCCAACCCCTCGAGGTCCTTCTGGGAGGGAGGGGCCCAAAACTGCCCCCAGGATTCGAGGGGTGCTTCACAACTAAACCCCTGAACTCCTCCTGGCTTTGTTCTGAGATTCTACAGCAGCGACTCCGCCCCTTTGCCAACCTCAAAACCCCCAAACCAACCTTTTTTTAACCCAAACAAGGGTTGAATGTTGAGCAGGAGCCTCCTCAGCACCCGTGGGAGGTGCTTCAAGCACCACCAAGTTCAGGAAGACTCTTGTGGCTCAGAGCTCGTTGGCATCAGGGCTTAGAAGGTGGCACCAAACGTTTCAAAAGCCCATTTCCAACCCGAGCAAAGCCCAAATTTGCCCAAATCAAGGGGAAATGGAAATCCTCAGGGAGCAGGATTTCAAGGATTCAGCCTAAAAAATGCTTACCTTAATTGCACCTGGATGGTGTAATCACATTTGGCACCTGGTAAGAGATCTCTGTGATGGAAATAAAACAGGTTTGAAGGGGGTTAGTGGCATTTCCCAGAGTTACAGCCACAACAGGGCCCATTTTTTTGTTGTTACACCAAAAGTGAGTTGTACTCTGGATCAAACCACTGCAGCTGGGTTGTAAAAACAGGGAATTCCTGTCAGAACTAGGAGGGGAAATGTCCCAAAAAAAGCACAAAGCCAAAAGCCATCAGAGAGGAGAGAGAGTGGTGAGAAAAGGAGAACATCCACCTCAAGGATTTTGGCTCCTGCTGAGTTTTTGGGAATCAAACACCAACCACAGGGTTGTGTCTGTAGGTCATCCTAAATTTGGGGCTAAACTAGCAGGTTTTTATCCCAGCTGCTCTGTTTTGTTTCCTCCACACAGTCACTCCACCCCCCATGAGGCAGGTCCTCGATGGCTGCACGCTGCTGAGGTCACAACTCCCCTTTTCCACACCCAATTTGGGGGGTTTTAGGGGGGTTTTATCCCCCCCCCCACTGCACTGGAGCTCAGAAGTGTGAGTTGTTCCACAGGCAGCTCTTCCCCCTAAGTGTGAATCATCCTTTCAGATTCTGCTCTTCCTCCTCCATGTGAATCATCACTTCAGACTCAGCTCTTCCTCCTGAGCACAAATGGTTTCAGACACAGCTCTTCTCCCTGCACCCTTTCAGATCCA